ATGGGACCACGAAGCGTGTGAGGGGTGTGCCGACATGGGTGTGGCTGACGCATGCGGGCCCGGGCACTGGGGCCTTCGCTGGAGCTCCCTATGGGGCCACGAAACGTGTGAGGGGTGTGCCGAAATTGGTGCGGTGGGCGCATGGGAGCGCAGCCACTGGGGCCTTCGCTGGAGCTCCCCATGGGACCACGAAACGTGTGATGGGTGTGCCGAAATGGGTGCGGTGGGCGCATGGGAGCGCAGCCACTGGGGCCTTCGCTGGAGCTCCCTATGGGGCCACGAAGCGTGTGAGGGGTGTGCAGAAATGGGTGCGGTGGGCGCATGGGAGCGCAGCCACTGGGGCCTTCGGTGGAGCTCCCTATGGGGCCACGAAACGTGTGAGGGGTGTGCCGAAATCTGCGCGGTGGGCGCATGGGAGCGCAGCCACTGGGGCCTTCGCTGGAGCTCCCTATGGGGCCACGAAACGTGTGAGGGGTGTGCCGAAATGGGTGCGGTGGGCGCATGGGAGCGCAGCCACTGGGGCCTTCGCTGGAGCTCCCTATGGGGCCACGAAACGTGTGAGGGGTGTGCCGAAATGGGTGCGGTGGGCGCATGGGAGCGCAGCCACTGGGGCCTTCGGTGGAGCTCCCTATGGGGCCACGAAACGTGTGAGGGGTGTGCCGAAATGGTGCGGTGGGCGCATGGAGCGCAGCCACTGGGGCCTTCGGTGGAGCTCCCTATGGGGCCACGAAACGTGTGGGGGTGTGCCGAAATCTGTGCGGTGGGCGCATGGGAGCGCAGCCACTGGGGCCTTCGCTGGAGCTCCCTATGGGGCCACGAAACGTGTGAGGGGTGTGCCGAAATGGGTGCGGTGGGCGCATGGGATGGGGCCTTCGCTGGGGCTGGGACCACCGCCGAAATGGGTGCGGTGGGCGCATGGGAGCGCAGCCACTGGGGCCTTCGCTGGAGCTCCCTATGGGGCCACGAAACGTGTGAGGGGTGTGCCGAATGGGCGGTGGGCGCATGCGCAGCCACTGGGGCCTTCGCTGGAGCTCCATGGGGCCACGAAACGTGTGAGGGGTGTGCCGAAATGGGTGCGGTGGGCGCATGGGAGCGCAGCCACTGGGGCCTTCGCTGGAGCTCCCTATGGGGCCACGAAACGTGTGAGGGGTGTGCCGAAATGGGTGCGGTGGGCGCATGGGAGCGCAGCCACTGGGGCCTTCGCTGGAGCTCCCTATGGGGCCACGAAACGTGTGAGGGGTGTGCCGAAATGGGTGCGGTGGGCGCATGGGAGCGCAGCCACTGGGGCCTTCGCTGGAGCTCCCTATGGGGCCACGAAACGTGTGAGGGGTGTGCCGAAATCTGTGCGGTGGGCGCATGGGAGCGCAGCCACTGGGGCCTTCGCTGGAGCTCCCTATGGGGCCACGAAACGTGTGAGGGGTGTGCCGAAATGGGCGCGGTGGGCGCATGGGAGCGCAGCCACTGGGGCCTTCGCTGGAGCTCCCTATGGGGCCACGAAACGTGTGAGGGGTGTGCCGAATGGGTGCGGTGGGCGCATGGGAGCGCAGCCACTGGGGCCTTCGGTGGAGCTCCCTATGGGGCCACGAAACGTGTGAGGGGTGTGCCGAAGTGGGTGTGGCTGACGCATGCGGGCGGTGGCACTGAGGCCTTCGGTGGAGATCCCTATGGGGCCGCGAAACGTGTGACGGGTGATGATGGCGATGATGATGGTGGTGGTGATGATGACGTCGATGATGTCGATGATGATGATGATGATGGTGATACCGAAACGGTTGCACACGCTTCGTGGCCCCATGATGATGATGACGATGATGATGGTGATAATGACGATGATGATGATGATGATGACGGTGATGATGGTGATGATGGTGATGATGATGATGATGGCAGGAGGGAGGGGGCAGCGGGAGGAGGAGTGAACGCGGGGCGCTCTCTTCAAAACGAGGACCCAACACCACAGGATGGTTGGGAAAAACATCATCAATTAGAACTCTGACTGAAAGCCAAAGCACGGTGGCGGGAAGAGCTGAAGGCCACACCACCACCACCACAACAAACCACCACACCACCACCACCACCACCGCCACCACCGCCACCACCACAACCACCACAACCCACCACCGCCACAACCACCACCATCACCACAAACAACAACACCACCACCACCACCAAAAACACCACCACCGCCACCACCACAACCCACCACGACACACCACAACCACCACCACAACCACAAACCCTCACACCATTACCACCACCATCACCACCACCGCCACAGCCACAACCATCACCACAACCCACCACCAAGACCACCACCACAAAGCACCACACCACCACCACCACTAGAACCACTAAAAACCACCACAACAACCATCACCACCACAAACCACCAGACCATTACCACCACCATCACCACCACCGCCACAACCACAACCATCACCACAACCCACCACCAACACCACCACCACAAACCACCACACCACCACCACCACCACCACAAACCACAACACCACCACCACCAAAAACGCTACCACCACCACAACCCACCACAACCCACCACAATCACCACCACCACCAGAAACCATCACACCATTACCACCACCATCACCACCACCGCCACAGCCACAACCATCACCACAACCCACCACCAGCACCACCACCACAAATCACCACAAATCACCACACCACCGCCACCACCGCCACCACCGCCCACCACGCCACCACCACCACCGCCACAACCACCACCACCACACCACCTCAACCCACCACACCACCACCAGCACCACCTCTACAAACCACCGCCACCACCGCCGCCGCCACCGCCACCACCACCACCACAAACCACCACACCACAACCACCACCACCACCACAAACCACCACCACCACCACCACCGCCACCACCACGAACCACCACCAAAACCCGCCAAACCACGACCACCCACCACCACAACCACCACCACAACAACAAAGCGCCACACCAAACCACCACAGCCACGACCACCGCAACAAACCGCCACACCACCACCACCGTAACCCAGCACCACCACATCTACCACCACCACCACCACAACAAACCACCACCAAACCACCGCCAAACCACCACCACCACCCACCACCACAACCACCACCACCACCACAACAAGCCGCCACACCAAACCACCACAAACACCATCACTGCAACAAACCGCCACACCACCACCACCACCGTAACCCACCACCCCACCACCACCACCACATCTACCTCCACCACCACCAGAAACCACCACCACCGCCACCACCGCCACCAACACAACCTGCTACCACAACCACCACAACAACCACCACCACCAACAACCACACCACCACCACCACCACCACCACCACCGCCACAACCACCACCACAACAGCCCACCACCACAACAGCCCACCACCACCACCACCATCTCAGAGAGGCCCCAAGGGACGCCCAAGAGGCGCCCAGGAGGCTGAACAAATGCCCCTCAGAGGCCCCGGGGAGCCCTTTGACGGGACCCAAAGAGGCATCCGTTCGGACTTTGACCAAAAACCAAGGCACGGTGGCGGAGCGTCGTCGTCGTCGTCATCGTCGTCGCCGTCGTCCTCGTCGACGTTCCCCGCCGCCGCCGCCCGCCGCCGCAGGCGCCGGCGCCGGCCCAGAAGAGAAAGTCGTCGTCCCCGCCATCTCCGCCAGCCGCCGCCAACGCAGGCGCCGGCCCGAGGAGAGGGAGAGAGGAAAAGTAGGGGAGGACGGGGAGGGAAAGGGGGGGCTCCTCCTCCTCCTTCTCCTCCTCCTCCTCATCTTCCTCCTCGTCTTCCTCCTCCTCTCCGTAGTATTACTCGCATTCTTAGTACCATTAATACTGTTAGCACTATTACTCGTAGTATGCACCGTAGTCGTAGTACTCTGCGTTATAATAGTTGTCGCAATCGCCTTCTTTTTGTTGTAGTAGAAGTAGTATTAATCCGATTAGCGTTGGTATTATTAGCCATCGATTCATTATTCGTAGTATTCTTCGTATTAGCATGACCCTTATTATTCGTACTCCTAGTAGGTCTGTGTTGTATTCTTCTTACTTTGACTATTATAAATATTGGTATGCAGTTTCTTCCTCGTCGTATTCTCCTCCTATTAGTAGCAAGATTAGTAGCCGCCTTAATCATGCTAGTATTCCTCCTGCCTCCTCCCTCCTCCTCCGCCTCACCTCCTCCTCCCCTCCTCTTCCTCCTCCGCCTCCGCCTCCTCCTCCTCCTCCTCCTCCTGCCTCCTCCTCCTCTCCGCCTCCGCCTCCGCCCTCCTCCTGCTCCTGCTCCTCCTCCGCCCCGCCTCCGCCTCCGCCTCCGCCTCCTCCTCTTCTTCTTAGTTTTATTCTTATTATTCTTATCATGTTAGTCTTCTTATTATTATTATTAGTAGTGTTATTCTTATTCTTCTTATTATTAGTATTATTAGTATTAATAACATTATTAATATTAATATTACTAGTATTATTATTGTCATTAGTATTATTATTAGTAGTATTGGTATTAGTAGTACCGTTATTATTATTCGTCTTCTTATTAGTAGTCATAGTATTAATAATATTCGTATTATGAGTAGTAGTAGTAGTAGTAGTAGTAGTAGTATTAGTAGTAGTAGTAGTAGTATTGTAATTCTTAGTATTCGTATTAGTATTAGTATGTTTATTCGTATATGTATTAGTAGTCTTCGTCTTCTTGTTCTTAGTATTAGTATTCTTATTATGATTAGTATTCGTAGTAGTCGTTTTATTCTTCTTATTATTATGTTCATTCGTCTTATTCTTCTTACTATTCATATTAGTATTAGTATTATTATTATTATGCTTATCATTATCCTTCCTCCTCCTCCTCCTCCTCCTCCTCCTCCTCCTCCTCCTCCTCGTCCTCCTCCTCCTCCTCCTCCCCCTCCTCCTCCTCCGCCTCCTCCTCCTCCTCCGCCCTCCTCCTCCTCCTCCTCCTCCTCCTCCTCCTCCTCCTCCCCACCTCACGGCCGCGGCCCGCCCCGCCAGCGCGCCTTGCCCAGCTTCGGGGTGGGCCCAGAGCCGTCGAAGGCCCACGTGGGCAGGCACGGCAGCTCGAAGTCGGGATGGACCTGCAGGAAGTAGAGCACCTGCACGAGGAGGCGATGGGGGAAAGGGTCGAAGCTCAAGGCCTGCCCCCCTCCGGCGCCGTTGGCCCCCTGCCGCGCGCAGCCCTCCTCGGCGCTGCTGGGTCGAGGGCCGAGGCTCCTTGGAGGCTGCTGCGCCTGCTTGCGAGGAGGGGTTCGAGGCGGCCCAGCGCCATCAAGGTCAGCGAGTAGGACGTCAGGTTCCCCTTCGGCGCCCCGCACACGCAGGCCGCCTTCGACCAGAGCTTCACCAGCAGCGCCAGGCCCCGCACAACGGGGCCCGCCTGCGGGAGGGGGGCCCAAGGCGACGACCAGATCGCGACCGTCGACCCCAGGCTTGGCGGCGTGCATACAGATCGAACGTTTATACAGATCCACCTCCTTCATCATGCCTCCCCCGCCTCCTCTAGATGTTTTCTTCCTTTCTGCGGAAGGGGAGGGGGGAGAACGAGGCGGCGGATCTGTACAGTTGTCCTCCTCCGAGCGCACCGGAGGAGTGGAGGGGGGCGACTTGAGAGAAAGGCAACCCAGGGATGCCGAAATGGTGTGGGTGCGAAGACAAACCGTGCGGCGGAAAACCTCACGGCACGGCCCGTCAGCGAACAGTTTTTGTGCATCGGAGGCCCCAATCGCCCGAGACTCCCTCGGATAACCAGCCCAAGTCCTAAAACCATGCGGTCACCCCGAATCTGGGGAGACCAAAAAGTACCCATACCGCTACTCCCCAGACCTTTCGCTGGGTGCGTTCTGGCTAGAACTTCGAGGCGAATCCAGCGGTGACGGCAAGGGCCTCCCAGGAGACCGAAAAAGGCGAAAACGAAGGAAGGTATCAGTATGGGAAAACGGGTACCTTTTCCTCCTTCGAAAATCCCCACTAACTCCCCACCGTCGGGCCCCCCAATCAGAAGAAGGCCATGGGGGCTTCTTCGAAGGGCCCGGCGGCCTCGAGAAGGCTTGAGGGCAGGAGTGGCCCTCAGACGCGCAGAAGGCATCTGCACACACCTGGAAGGCCCAGGACTGTACAAACAAATAGACACAAATCCCAGGATCCACAGTATTCAACAATATTTTCTGGGTTTCGTCTTCCCCCCCACTTCCCATATGTTCCCACATTTTCCTGGGAGTCGACGATTACTTGTGCCTATGTGTCTTTTCCCCATCCTGACTTCAGAAGGCAGGAGTGGCCCTTAGACGCTCAGAAGGCATCTGCACACACCACCCTCACAATGCCTGGCCAGGACCATCACTGGCTCTGGCATGGTGCATGCGCCCTCCTCGCCAAGGACAGGAGGACCTCTACACAACCCTGGGGGCCATGATCGGGGACCGGCAAAACTGAAGAGACACCGCTGCTCCCCAGAACTCAGACGGGTTGCTTTCTGACCCACAATTCGAAACGAATCCAGCCGTGGCAACGAGGGTGTGGCAATGGTACAAGAGTTACAGGCCACCCAAATGGGCCCGAGTGGGTGGAGTGAGCGCGATCTACCGTCGCTTGGCAAAAAACTTCCCCCCCCCTCCCTCTGGGAAACCAGAGGGAAAGGGGTCAAAGATCGCCCCCTCCCCCTCCGTTCCCCAGGAGCCTTGAGCGGGAGGGGATCCCCCCCCCTCGGAAACCGGGAACCAGGGGTGGGGGAAGGGGGTGGGGGGGGGGCAGAACCCCCCCTGTTCGAACAAGGAAAGGGGCAATTCGAACGGGCTCGAATCGAAGCCTACCACTAGGGAAGCTGGATCCAGCTCAGAGATCAGAGACGGCCCAAAGAGACACCCAGGAGGCTCGAAGAGATCCCCCAGGAGTCCCAGGACGGGCTCCAGAGGCTTTCCACAAGGTGCTGGAGAGCCTATTCAATAGCATACAAAGATTTTCGAATGTTCGATGAAGTGGGAACCTTGCACTATGGACTCGTGAGTTGCGGTGTCTCCAGAAAGGTCCCGACCCTTTCCCCTATGCAGCTGTTGTCCTTCATGGCCTGTTGTTTGCAGAGCCTGGGGCACGGAGAGGACCCCAAAAGGCCCAACACTGAAAACAAGCACCAGCAACAAAAACATGAACACAAAAAAACGCACATCTACACACACACACACACAACGGGGCAACAGACGGCCAATGACTGTCCGACCCTGGTCTTCTCGTCCTTCCGTTCCTTTCCAGAAGGACCCACGACGATGAGCGATCGATCCAGAACGCTGGAGCCATCTCAGAGCGATCTGGAGCGCTCTGGTACGACCGGACGGCACCCGAAACATGCGCCAGACTCATTGACTCTCAGAGATTCCAAGCTATCTCTGCCCGGTTTGATACTGTTCCTACCGTGGTCGTACCCACCTCCACTTCTCCGGCCCTTGCGCCGCGCAGCGGGCCTCCGCGTAGGCCCGGAGCAGATGCGTGTTTCTCAGCGGTTCCGTGTTGTGGCAGGACAGGTCCACGTCCACCAGGCCGTTGCACCGCAGGGTCAGGACAGGGATCCTCGCAGGGACGGAGATCTGCTACTCGGCAGGGGGCATCTAAACATCACCACCATGCCTGGCCAGGGCTATCCTTGGCACTGGCACGGTGTATGCGGTCTGGTTGGCCGAAGCCAGGAGGGAAGATCCAAAGATAGCCTTGGCCAGGGCACGGTGGTGGCGGTGGTGTGCTGATGCCATACTACACGGACTGTATGATGTTGTTGGTCCTTTCTGGTCCTCCAAAACCTCGGAAAAAGGGGGGGTCCTGAAGCCTCCGCGGCGACCTCAGAGGCTTCCAACGGCATCCGAAGACCTCCGAAAAAGAACGTTGGTCAAGAAGGCGGACTGACCTGAAGCGCTGCCGTCTGCCAAAGCACCGCAGCCAGAAATCCATCGCCAGCTCTCAGAACAGTGTCGATGGGACCAGGCCCATGCAGACGAAGGGGTTCGACAGCGGAGGGGCACGACGACCTTCGGCATCGCTCGGTGGCGGGGCAAGTAGGGGAAGCCAGGTGGGAAAAACATTGTACAATTAGGTGGAAAAGCGAAGCTGCGACCTTCCCTGCCATGACCTCCAGAAGCCGGGGTGGTTCCATGGCGATGCGGGCGTGGGTGGGCTCCGATGTGCGAGACCTTATTTATCCTCTGGGGGCGAGAGCCAGCCGCCACGCCAGCTCCTGAGCAACTACACCTGCACCGCGCGCACTGCGGTACGGCGAAAAGCGTAAACGTTATCTTGCGACCGAATGCACAACAAACGTGCCGTCGTGCCTGCAGCTACACGCTGTGCATCGTGCGTCCGGGCGCCAAGGGGACACAGCATGCGCCAGAGCGTGGGATAACAGGTGTCGTTGTCCAGTGAATGGCACAGCTCTGCCCCGATCGGTTGTCAATCGTACCCACTATTGCGGCCTTGTTGAATAAGTAGGCGGGCGACGCACCGGCAGTAAAGCTGACAAGTGGTCGTGGCCAGGGCCACGCGCGGAGCAGCACGCAGGTAGAGCCACGTCCCTACTCCTCGGGGAAAGGTGTGTGACAAGGCTTCCAGGCAATACGCGGCACGACAGCTGCAGGCGCCCGCGGCATGCGTAAGCGCCCCAGCCTGGAAGAAAACCGTTGCGGCGGCTCGGGGATGCCGAACTGGCTGAGGGGGCAGATGCCGCGAAGGACCCAAGTGAGAAGCGGTCGTTGCGTAGCCGACGTGCTGACTGCATCTGGACGTGGTGTTTGCAGCGCTCGCCAGATGCGCGTCTGGCCAGCTGCGGTCTGGTCGGGACAAGAACACGCATAGGCGACATCAGGCTGGTGATCCGTGGCTTGATGGGCCACAGCGCCCAGATAGGGGATACTCCTCGACCAGGCGCACGATAGCGGCCCAGGGAGGAGTTCCGCCGTCAGGCACGACACGAAGCTACGGCCAGCACATGCAGGATGCGAGTGTCGTATGAGACGTCGTGGCGTCCCCGTGGGCGCGTGCTCCACATCGCGTTGCCTGCGGTTCTAATATCCTTGCCGCCGGCTCCTCACGTCTTATACGGTCTGGCGTTTGCCTCATCGTACCAGTAAGCGTCCAGGAGGAAAGCTTGAAGAACAGCCACAAGCAGAAGCTGCATCCACGTCGTACTATGCGCAGCCCGTGGATCGCGAGCTGGGATCGTTCCCAGTTCCACTACCAACTAGAACTGCGAGTGGCACAGGTGACAAGTAGAAGACATGGCGGCAGCGGTCACGTGACAGATAGTAGCAAAGCGCATGCCCCTTTCCCTCCAACACTGTGCGATCCGCGTGCACACTGCAAACCAGAGAGGCAGCGGGCGCGAAAAAGCGTGTTCCGATCCGAGCTTACAGGGAAGAGGGGTGGAGTTGGAGGAGGGCGAGGTGCAGGGGCAGGAGGATGAATGCTGGAACCTGACGGCGTCGAAGAAGAAGACAAGCTCCCCCTACCCATCATCTTCCTCGGTATTACCCTCTGGTCATGCCCCTTCTCCCGCCCCTCCGCCTCCACGCTCTCCACCTCCTCATCCTAATCCTCCCCCTCCTCCCGCCCCGCCCGCCCCTCCCCCTCCACAGTCTCCCTTTCTTTCCTCATCCTCCCACTCCGCCCTCTTGAGGGGGAACGTCAGGACGGGACTGGCTCAGGGGCAAACATCGAGCTGGAATCGGCGATCCCCATCGCCGATCGATCGGCGATAGGCCCCCGACAGCGAATGCGCGCGTTCCTGTGCGGGGCGGGCCGTCGGGCATGCATCGGCGATCAGTGGGCGAGTGGGGGTCGCTGCATCCCCCCTGCGCTTGTGCCCCCCCAAACGCTGCCCCTGACTCGAAGCACGGCGAGCTGAGACGAGGACATCTCAGAGTGCCTGGACACCTCCCGGGGGCCAAGCGCAGAAGTGCCCCGAGCTGCGTCCGGCCGTGGCGACGAGGGGGCCCCCCGAAAGCCGAATGCCGTGAATCCAGCTCGCCCTCCCCTGACCAGCGCTGCCCCCGGCCCCTCCCCGTTCCCCTTCGCCCCCCCATCGCAGCCGTGCCCGCGTCCTGGCGGTGGGGACGAACCGGACGACCTCGAGACTTGGGCGCTGGACGAGCATCGGCATGGCCACCTGCAGGACCTGCACCGCGGCTGCGGAGTTGCCCTCGCCCTCGCGGGCGGGGGGGGGGGCGGCCGGCGGAGGGGGCTGGCGACAGGGGCCGGCACCCGCCTCGTATCTCCCCCTGCGAGGAGGGGATGTGTGTTCGGGGCGCCTCCAGAGAGAAGTGGCACGCCTGCTCTCGTGCACTGCCCCCACGCCTTTCCCCCCTTCCTGTCCACGATTCCCTCCACAGGCGGGCGTCCTCCAGTGATTGACCAAAAACGTACGCCCAACCCTTTGGGAGGGGACGTAAGTTACGAACGCCAGAAACATGAGGGACAGGGCGTCTTTCCTTCTGCACATGTGTCACACCAAACCGCCCAAAATTATCATCCCAAATGCAAAGGCGGGGACCTCAGTGAGGCTATGTCTTCGTCGTGTTATTTAGGGTTAGGGTTTTTTCTGTGCTCGATGATCCAAGCCGCTACGGAACAGAACAGGATTGCGGGGGGCGGAGGGCGGAGCTGGGGGACGCCAGCCGTACACCTCCGCCCAGTGACGACCGTCGTAGGTCTCACCGAAGAGGAACATCATGGGCCTCGCACCCCTCGTGGCTGCCATCATAAAGGGGCTGCTTGACGGTCGCCCTCCTACCAATCCACCAACTCGCCTGTACGTCTTGCGGTCAAAAGGCACCAGAGGGGTCCGAGGACTCACTTAGAGCCCCTCGGGTACCGAGAACGGCCGTAAGTAAGGGAGATTCCAAACGAACGTCCGTATTTCTTCACTACTTGCACCGGCACGCCAATCAACCAATTCCTCATGCTTATCATCCCTCCTATCCCTGCTCCGGCCACCTATCAGTCGGCTGTCGCGCAGTGTGATCCAGCTCGAGCGCAGCACCACCGCTCGCGACACGACACAAGGCCATGGTGTCCGTCCCCAGGACGACGTAGCAACTAGCCCGCCCGCTCTCACGATTCAAATTCATGATCGTCGTCGTCACCATCGCCATCGACATCATAACATCAAAATCATCATCAGCGTCATCATCAATATCGTCATCGTCTTATGTACCACTATCACCACCACCACAACCATAATCATCATCAGCATCAGCATCATCATCAGCATCATCAGCATCATCATCACCATCAGCATCATCATCACGAGCAACAGTATCTTCATCAGCATCATCGTCGTCATCATCCTAATCACCAACACCCTCCATCCTCATCATCACCCCATCATCATCTTTACAATCAGCATCAGTATCAGCATCATCAGCATCATCGGTATCAGCATCAGCATCATAATCATAACCACCACCACCACCACCATGGTCAGCAACATCATCACCAACATCATCATCCGCATCATAATCATGGTCATGGTTGCAATACGCATACAGTCACCATTACCACCACCGACAGCATCATCATGACCACAATCAGCCCCACCACCATCGCCACCGCCATTATCAGCAACATCATCACCAGCAAAAGCAACAGCATCATCACCATCATCATCACCATAATCATCAGCATCGCCATCATCAGCATCATCAGGATCATCGTGATCATCGTGATCTAGTCAGTGTCATCATCCGCATCATCATCGTCATCGAATCATCATAATCAGCATCAGCATCATCATCAGCAGCATCATCATCACCATCATCAGTAGCATCATCATCGTCATCGACATCATCATCGACGTCGTCAGCATCATCATCGTCAGCATCGACATCATCACCATAAACCACAATCATCAGCATCGTCATCATCAGCATCGTCATCATTGGAATGATCACCATCACCATCATCACCATCATCATCATCATCATCATTAGCATCATCAGCATCATCAACATCACCCTCAACATCAAATCATCAGTATCATCAATAAATGCATAATCGTCGTCACTACCATCATTGCCATGCGTCGTCAGCATCATCGCCATCATCATCGTCATCAGCAACAGCATCCTTATTATCGTCGTCGTCCTCGTTGTCGTCGTCGTCATCACCATCATCGTCATCTCCCACCGATCATCTATCATCATCAGCATCATCGTCATCATCAGAACCGTCATCATCGTCGTCACCATCACAATGACCAATTACCATCATCCTCGTCATCATCAGCAGCATGATCATCGCCATCAGTTGAAATCATCATCATCAGCAGCAGGATCACCGTCATCACCATCATCATTAGCAGCATCGTCCCCATCACCATCATCAGCAGCATCATCATACTAAGCATCAGCAGCATCATCATCCTCAGCATCATCAACATCATCATCAGCATCATCAACCACATCATCATCAGAATCGCCAGCATCAGCATCATCATCAGCACCATCGTGATCATCGTCAGCATCATCATCATCAGCATCATCATCAACAGCATCATCATCATAACCATCATCATCACCATCACCATCACCATCACCATCACCATCACCATCACCATCGCCATCATCATCATCATCATCATCATCATCATCATCATCATCATCATCATCATCATCATCATCATCATCATCATCATACTCATCATCATCACCATCACCATCACCATCACCATCATCATCATCATCATAATCATCATCATCATCATCAGCATCATCATCATCAACAACAACATTATCATCATCATGCGTCATGCGTCCGTTCCGCTCCCCAGCATCCTGGGCGTCCACTCGGTACAGCGTCACGTCGATGTCGGAGCCTCGGGTGCGGCAAAACAGGCCCCACTCCCAACCCCCGCGCCTCCGGGGGAAAGGGGACAGGCCGCGGAGCCAGCGCGGCACCTGGCCCCCGCACGCTGGGCACCACGTGCTGGCCCCTATGACGGCAGAGCTGCCTGCGCGCCCTCGCGCCGCCCCCCCTCTTCGGCAGCGTCAGACCTCGTCCCCATCCCCAGTGGGACAGGGCTGCTTGGCGCCACAAGCCTAATTACCAGCTCCAGGTGGGGACGCCATCTGCTCGGTCCCCATCTGGGAAGGCCTAGATTAGATGCTCATTCTGGGGACCTTCCTGGAGCCACTCGTTCCACTCGTGCGTCGAAGCTGCGTCGAACCCGAGTCGAACCTGAGTCGAACATGAGTCGAACCTGAGTCGAACCTGAGTCGAGCCTGAGTCGAACTTGAGTCGAACCTGAGCCGAACAGATCCATCAGGTGGCTTCCAGGAAGGTCCCCAAAACGAGCATCGAACCTGGAGTGGGGAAACCCAAAGGTATACCGCTGCCCCCCGGACCTCTCCCCCGGGGCGCGCTCTGACCAGGACCTCGAGGCGGCGAACTCCGCGGTGGCCACGAGGGCACCCCCGGAGGCCCGAGAAGGGGGGCATCGAGGGAACAGCAGCGGGGTGGGCACCTCGTCCTCCTCTGCCAGAAGGAAGGTGGGCTCGGAGGCTTTGGGCGTGGCTTACTAGAGGGGTCATAGATGGGGGGGTCAGAAACGGTCCCCTTTCCTGCCCCTTTCGGGCCCCTCCGAAGCCCCAGGGGGCTCGTTTGGGTACCGTTTGGGTACCTTGTCGGACCGTCCTCGCCCCCCCCCATTTATGATCCCCCCATTACGTGACGCCCACAGGCTTGCGCCGCCTCCGGCGCCGGACAGAAGTTCACTCTCGCAGCACGGCCTCTGGTGAGAAAAATGCCCGGCGGGACCAGGCCTGGCTCGGGCGTGTCCCCCTACAGGAGGATTTTGGGCGAAAAATAAGAGATACCCCAATACCGCCAAAATACTCGAAATTGATAGGAACAAAAAAAAAAAAACGTCCCCAGACTATGATTACTATCTTCAAATCTTCCCTCTGTAGAAGGACGGGCCCGACGTAAGACCAGGCCTGGCGGGCGCAGGGCCCGCAGAGCTCAGGCAGCCACGGGCGCGCAGCGCCACCTCGCGAGCTGGCCCAGAGGCAGCTCGCGAGGAGGCCTGTGGCACAGCGGGGGCTCTGTCAGCGGCGGCGCGCCCAGGCCCTGGAGAGTCGACGTCCAGTGGAGGCCAGGCCACGAGAAGCCCTCCGCAAGGAACCCAACCCAGGGTCCAGGAGGCCTTCCACAAGAAACCTTCCACGATAAACCTTCCACAGAAAACCGTACACAAGAAACCGTCCACTAGAAACCGTCCACAAGAAACCTTCCACAAGAAACCTTCCCCAGGACGTCCATCGATGTTTGGTGTGGGGACGTCACGCCTTCCACGGCAAAACCATCGAAGCCAAAGAAGCCTGGGGCACCCTGGAGGCACGCAGGGTACGTCTTGGCCATGGGCCCCCACTGTGTGCTCTGATCCGCGTTGCGTCGCGTTGCGCCCTAACCCACTGCGCTGCCCTACGTTGTGTTGCACGGCATTGCATTGCCTTGCATTGAGTTTCACTGTTATGCCTTGCGTTAAGTTGCTTCGCATTGCTTGATATTGCATTTGCCTTCAGGTGCATTGCGTGTAGCGAAAGCACGCCTGGAGCCCTGGGCCCCGTCTTTCTGCGGCATCTCTCGAGCGCCATCGCTCTGCGAGGGCCCCAAGGCCCGAGAAGAGGCGATAACGCCTGGGTCTCGAGAACAGTGCCACGCCACAGGATCTCAGGAAAGAACGTTATGTTGTTCCCATCGCACTTAAGGAACACATCCCAGGAAAAGGTACAGAGGCCTCATAAATGAGGCCAGAGAAGGTACAGAGGCCTCATAGATGGGCGCGCTCAGGGTTATGATGATCCCATCGTACTTGAGGACCACATCCTTGAAGTAATTGCGAGCACCCAGAAGCATATCGAAACAACTGCCGAACGAGTATCGATTCCCAGGGCCCGACACGTGAAAACCCTCCAGCAGTGTCAGTAAGTTCTTGGTGCTCGAAATTCTTTCTGGTGATCAAGGCTGAAGCAGGTTGGAACATCCTAAGGGGGGGGGAAAGGCAGACGGGGCTGGCCGTCTCACAAGGCCGCGGGGCTTTTTAAAGCCCCTCCCACCCTCTGGGAGGCCCTCTGTGGCTTTGCAGGAGGCTCAGAGGGCTTCTCGGAAGGCGAGAGGGCTTCTGAGAAGGTCCGCCGCCTTCTGAGAAGCCTGGCCCCCTCTTTCCCCCTTGCGCGCTCCGCCGATCAACCTCCGACGCCTTCCCGATACATCGGCACTATGCGCATGGGCGACTCTGGGACTCGGGCGTTCGTTCGTGAAGGGGCGAGCAATGGGGGAAGAGAAGCGTGCACCTGGGCCCAAGGGGCCCCTGGAGGGCACAAGACGTGCACCGTTCGTCCACCCCGCCTCCATGATCGCCCCCTCTATCACTCGCCATCGCTCGGACGTCCATTCCCCGTGCCTTTGTCGGCTTCGTGCGGGTATCTGTTCGCAAGATGGCCCAAAGTGCTCCTCGATTCGGGGGTTGCTAAAGGTGCCCCTGGCCCAAGGTGCCCCCAGCTTTTCGCTCCATTTTGGAGCCCCTGGGGTCCTCTGGGCCTTGTGAGGGGTGCTCTGGAGGCAGCCCGGGCCACCCCGAAGATCCTGGGGGTGCCTTGGGCCTGGGGGAACTTCTGGCGACACCCGATCGATGGCCCTTGCCGAGAAGAGCAGCACACGTCCAAGCGCTGCCAAAAAAGTACGCCGCGCCCGAGGGACGGACAAAAAGGGGCGCCAGACCGCGCCGCACCTGCGTCGTCCCCCCTTCCGGATGCTTCCGGGGCGGCGGGCACGAGACGGGAGCGTGTGGGTGGGGGGCGGCCGGGAGGAGAAGAGGAGAGGAGAGGAAGGAGGAGGAAGAGGAAGGAGGAAGGAGGAAGGAGGAAGGAGGAGGAGGAGGAAGTGGAGAGAGAACAAGAAGGAAGGAGGAGGAAAGGGAGGAGGAGGAAGGGAGGGAGGGAGGAGAGGAGAGGGAGAATGAGAGGGAGTGGGAGGAGGATGAGGATGACGAGGAACGGAGGAGAAGAGAGGAAGGAGGCGAGGGGCAAACTAGCCCGTCCAGTCTCCGTGGGGGTCATGAAGGTCCCCTGGGAGTCTCCAGAGGTCTCCAGAGGCCTCAAGATTCCCCCCCCCCACCCCCAATACAGCAAGTCGTGAAACCTCCATGTGCATTGGGCACTCCCTGGGAGCCTCGCGTCATGAACAAGTTCTTCACACTCCCGAACGGGCCGAGGCGCCACATCCGGCCGAGCTCCGCCAGGGCGAGCGAGATCTCCCCGAGGCAAGACCACAGGTACTTGTGGGGCAGAGGAAAAAGACCAAAGGGGCAGACAACACCCACTCTTCCCATTCCCCCTCCCACTCCTCCTACTTCTCATCCTCCTCCTCCTCGTCCTGCTCATCCTCCTCCTTCTCCTCCTCCTCCTCCGCCGCCTTCTCCTCCGCCTCCTCCTCTTCCTAATCCCCCCTCCTCCTCTCCCCCCCCTCCTCCTCCTCTCCTCCTCCTCCTCCTCCTCCTCCTCCTCCTCCTCCTCTTCCTCCTCCTCCTCCTATTCCTGTTCCTCCTCCTCCTCTTCCGCCGCCTCCTCCTCCTCCTCCTCCTCCTGCACCTCCTCCTCCTATTCCTCTTCCTCTTCCTCTTCCTTTTCATCCTCCTCCTCCTCGTCGTCCTCCTCCTCCTCCTCCTCCTCCTCCTCCTCCTCCTCCTCCTCCTCCTCCTCCTCCTCCTCCTCCTCCTCCTCCTACGGGGTCCGCGGCAGTCCCGACCCCTTCCTCAGGGCCTGATTCTCGTCCCGAGCCGTTTGATTGCCGGCCCCAGGGCCCGGCGAGGGACCCCAAAGGACGAAGACGGCAAAACAGTCATTGGCCTAGTCAGTACGTTGGAGGCCTGGGAAGGAATGGGAGAGGAGGTGGCAGGACGAGAATGCTGTAATGATGAAGTTGGCTCAGGATACGTTCTAGGAATTCCGGACATCTAGCGGCCCTCGATACTCGAGTCCGCGAGGAACAATCTTAAAGTGGGATACCTGGGAAAGCCAGGAACAGCTCATTATCTTGACCACTTGCTCCTCTCAAGAAAGGGAGGAGGAGGAGGAGGAGGAGGAGGAGAAGCATGGAGCGCGAACTACCCTCGCACCCGCCGCCTCTGCTGTCCCCCGCTGGCCTCCGCACGACAGTCCAGACGCGAGGCGAAGAATGCCCTTCGGTAGCCGACCTGGCCGCTCCAAGAGACGCCAACAGCTACGTCGCTTGCCGGTGATCCAGACCAGGACCAGGAGGGCGGCGCCATGCGGAAAGAACGGGCTCCGACGGGGGGACCCTCCGTCGTACTCGCGTCATGGACGTGTATGCGCTTCAGCAGCTCGCGGCTTGCCAGTGACCCGGGCCGGGACCGAGAGAGGGCCAGGCTGAGGGAGGGGGCTGAGACAAGGAACCCTTCGCCGCACTCCTGCCATGGGAATAAACGTGCTTCATCACGGGTGTCATTGTCCACCTCCACTGAAGGGGCCCTGAGACACACAAATAAATACACACAAATCACAGGATTCCCAATGTTTTCCCACATGTTCTGGGTGTTCGTCTCCCCCCACTTTCCATTTGTTCCCAAATTTTCCTGGGGGTCGACGATTCACTGTGTCTGTGTGATCTTTCCCCTCCGGATAGATGTGCTTCATCACGGGTGTCATTGTCTGCCTCCTTGCCTGGCTCGCCCGCCTCCGCGCACCGCAAATCTCGCGCGGCGCCGGCCGTGATCATCTCTTAGCCCAACATCCAAAACCCGAGAAGAACGACTGTCCAACGTAGACCGCAAAACGCGGTTTCTTCTCACATCTCCAAATGACTGTCGGAAAATGAACCAGACCCGGAGTGCACCCGGATTCCGGATCTTCCTGCCGACTGGAATGGATTGGGATAGAATGGCCCCTCTCTGGCCCAGAACAACAAGAAACATTAAGCGTTACTCTTGAACAGATGCTTAAGCCGGTCGAACAACGACCGCCGAAGACAAGCGTGCGCGCCTCGGTGTCCAACTTCGACGGCACCTTGGGCGGGCCCCACCCATCCTACGATTCCTGGAACGAAGGAGCAGGAGGAGCAGGGGGGCCAGGACGAGGGTCTATACAAAAGGCCAGAGAGCATCATAAAACAAGACCCACAAACTGTTCAGACAACCCTCCCGCGGTTGGTAGTCTCGATTTTTACATATGCACAGGCTTTACCGGGCCCTGGCTTCTGCAATGTGCCGAAGGCGCCCATCTGGACGCTGCGCCCGGCTCCTAGGCCCCAGGGCCAGACGGGGCGCCAGGCCGGCTATGATTTCAATGCGGGGTTGCCCCCAATGTGGAACTGCCCCCTTGGAGGACCCCCCCATGGTCCACAAGAAACCTTCCACGAGAAAACCTGACCCGAGATCCAAAGGCGTCTATCGATGTTTGGTGTGGGGACGTCACGCCTTCCACAGCGAAACCATCGAAGCCAAAGAAATCCAGGGCACCCTGCAAGCAAGCAGGGTGTGTCGTGGCATTGGCCCCAGTGTATGCTCTGATCCGCGTTGCTTCGCGCTGCGCCCTAACATACTGCGCTGCGTTCCGTCGTTTTGCACGGCACTGCATTGCCTTGCAATGAGTTGCACTGTTAGCCTTGAGTTAAGTTGCTTTGCATTGGCCTGACTTACACTGTAATGATTCAGTTGCAGCGCATTGTTTGGTATCGAATTTGCCTTCAAGTGCACTGCTGTGCACTATGCGTTGCATTCCGCTGCATGTCGTTACTGTGATGGACATGTGTACCGCGTAGAGCCAAATTGAATTGGATTGCATCACTGCGCGTCCCATTGCGCGTTGCGTTGCGCTTGTGTTGATTTAGTTGTACTGTTACTACTGCATGAAAGCGCTGGGCCTTTGCGTTGCTCGGAAGATCTAGACATTGCGCTGAATTGCTTCGCACTGCCTGACTTTGCAGCCCAAGGCCACGTTTTGTCCACCGTCTCGTTGCTTGCAGCCCTATGTGGCCCCCTCGGTGTCCTTCGCGGACCCGATGCAGCCCTTCGTGGCCCCCTCGCTGCCCTTCGCAGTCCGTTTGCAGCCCTTCGTGGCCCCCTCGCTGCCCTTCGCGGATCCGTGGCAGCCCTTCGTGGCCCTCTCGCTGCCATTCGCGGCCCTGTCGCAGCCCTTCGTGGCCCCCTCGCTGCCCTTCGTGGCCCTGTTGCATCCCTTCGTGGCCCCCTCGCTGCCCTGCGTGGCCCCATTGCAGCCATTTGTGGCCCCCTCGCTGCCCTTCGTGGCCCTGTTGCAACCGTTCGTGGCCCACTCGCTGCCCGTCGTGGCCCCATATATGCATGCCCTTCGCGGCCCCCGCTCGTTTCCGCCCGTCGTGGCTCCTTGCGCGCGCGTTTCGCGGCCCCGGCGTCGCCCCTCGCGGCCCCCATCGCTGCCCTTCGCAGTCCCGTCGCTGCCCTCAATGGGCCCTCTTGCCCTCTGCGGCCCAACATACGCATGCCCTTCGCGGCCCCCGCTCGTTCTCGCCCGTCGTGGCCCCACACGCATGCCCTTCGTGGCCCCGCTGCCGCCCTTCGCGGCTCCCTCGCCTGCCATTCGCGGCCCAATCACTGCCCTGCGCAGCCCCGCTGTCGCTCTCGCCCTCGCTCGCGCTTTCGCTCGTCGTCGTCGTCGTCGTCGTCGTCGTCGTCGTCGTCGTCGTCGTCGTCGTCGTCGTGGTCGGTCCCCTGTCCGTCCCTCAAAGGGTCGGACTGCCGCCGGTCAGCGCTGCCGCTGGCCAGCGCCGACGGCACGCGGCCGCCCCGCCGCTTGCCGGGCCCCGGCCTGCAGGGAAGAAAGATATGCGCCCCAAAGGGGGTTACGATCGAAGACGAAGAGGGCGGGTATCGAGGGTTCGGGAAATACGCGTTGAATGACACTCGAGCAGATAAGAGCGAACAGTTGTAAACTGAGTGTTGTTTTTGTTTTTAGAGCTGTTGTTGTGGCTGTCATCGCTGTTGTTGTTGGGGGGCGCGCCCGGGGGCCGTGGTCAGCCCCTCTTCATCGATAACAACAACAAGCATCAGCATCAGCAACAACAACCACAACAACAGCAACAACAACAACAACAACAACAACAATCATTTTACCCGAACGCTCAGTGTTCTCCCCAGTGCCAGGGTTTTCATGCGACGCCAGCCAATACCCCCACTTCGTGGGGGGGCAATGCAAGCTCTACCAAACATCCACACGACTCTCGGGAACCACCCACACCCAGCTTCCCGCCCTATGACGTCAGGACACTTCACTTCGTGGCGCGCGGACGATCGTGGATACTACACTGGCGTGGAGTACACACCCGCAGAGGTTAATCACTTGTTTGGGCCCCGCATGTGCCCCGCATCGTGCATTTGTTGCGCATGATATGAGAGCAAGACAGAGAGAGAGAGAGAGCAAGACAGAGAGACAGAGAGAGAGAGAGAGAGAGAGCAAGACAGAGAGCCAGAGGAGAGCTACGGTGCGATTCGTGTGATTTTATGATGCGCGGTGCTAAAATTCTTAAAAACCCAATGATTTTTGGAGATTTCGGCGTGCGCGCGCGAAGAAAAAACGAATGTGTCCCGCATGGTATTATTTGACAGGGATGATGGCCCTGGCAGGTGCGCAAACGTTGTCGCAGAAGTTCGAAAAAGTTGCTCGCAAAAGCCCGTTTGACAGAATTGTTTAAAAAGTGTTGGTTTTCCTACGAATCCGCAAGAGCGCGCGGAAGAACATTTTGACAATTTTTTCTTAAAAAACCATTGGGTTTTTGATGTTTTTATGTTAAAATCGTTACGAAACCTAAGGTTTTGGAAGGATTTCGTCTTGCGCGCACGAATGTCCACTTTACCTTATTTTTTGCAAGGGATTCTTGCAATTTGATCAAGTAAGAACAAGAATTTTCATTTTATAGTGTTTTTTGCAAGGGAAAACGGAGTACAACAAAACAACCGGATCCGGTAATAATTCACTTTTCTGAAGCTTTCGCTAAAAAATGATGAAAATGTAGCTGCGGCCTAGGTTTTGGAGGGGGGTCGCGCACCAGGGGTCCCAACAATAATTATTCTTTAGAAGTAATAATGTTCAACAACAACAACAACAATTACTAGCACGTGGGGACACTCCGTTCTCACCAGTGCCAGGGTTTTCATAGGAGGCGGGCAATACCCCCACTTTGTGGGGGGGCCGGTTCAAGCTCTACCAAATTTCCAAACGACTCTTCGCCACCACCCACACCCAGCTTCCCGCCCTATGACGTTCGGACACTTCACTTCGTGGCATGCGGACGACCGTGGCTACTATTCAGGGCCCCGCGGCCGACGACGACGGCGTGCGCGCGCAGTGAAAAAACGAATGTGTCCCGCATGGTATTATTTGACAGGGATGATGGTCCTGGCAGGTGCGCAACCGTTGTTGCAGAAGTTCGAAAAAGTTGCTCGCAAAAGCCCATTGACAGAAATGATTAAAAAGTGTTGGGTTTCCTACGAATCCGCAAGAGCGCGCGGGATGAATTTTTGACATATGTTTTTTTGAAAAACCATTGGTTGTTTGATGTTTTTATGTTAAAATCGCTACGAAAACTAAGGTTTTGGAAGGATTTCGTTTTGCGCGCGCGAATGTCCACTTTACCTTATTGTTTGCAAGGGATTCTTGAAGTTTGGTTATGTTAGACCAAGAAATGCCCACTTTAGCTTATTCTTTGAAAGGGAAAACCGATCGTAACAACACAACCGGATCCGGACTCCCCCGTTTTGCCTGAGACTTCCTTACGAAAATGATGAAAATGTGGCTGCGGCCTAGGCGCGGCGGGGGGGTCGTGCACCAGGGACCCCAACAATAATTATTCTTTAGAAGTAATAATGTTCAACAACAACAACAGCAACAACAACAACAACAACAACAGCAGCAGCGACAGCAACAACAACAGCGACAGTAGCAACAACAGTACGATGACTTACTACAATCACAACCACAACAACAACAACCGCCTCATCATCATCATCATCATCATCATCATAATCATCATCAGCAGCAGCATCATCAACAACAACCACAACGACCACAACAACAGCGCAACAACACCAACAGCAACAACAACAGCAACAACAATCCGCCGCCCCCTTGTGGGGCCACCAGGCTGCAGGGCGAAGGTTCGCAGTTTCCTGTACCAGTTGCAGCTTCCAGTTTCCACTGTTACAGTTCTGCTTCTTGCTGCTTACTGTTCCTTGTTGATGGACCGCGCGAGGGGGGGGAGGCCCAAACAGGCAGGTGTAGCACGCCCTGAGCGTGTGCTCTGAATTGCTGGGGCGACTAAAAATTTACACCCCTCACGCAGACCGGCGGGGTCAGGGTCCAAAAACACATTGGACTTGCCACATTTCTGAAATTAGGCGGCACCCCTCACGCAGATCGGCGGGGTCAGGGTCCAAAAACGTTGGAATTTGCCACGTGTCTGAAATTCGGTGGCACCCCTCACGCAGATCGGCGGGGTCAGGGTCCAAAAACACATGGGATTTGCCACATGTCTAACATTCGGTGGCACCCCTCACGCAGATCGGCTGGGTCAGGGTGCAAAGACATATTGGATTTGCCACATTTCTGAAATTCGGTGGCACCCCTCACGCAGATCGGCGGGGTCAGGGTCCAAACACATTTTGGATTTGCCACATGTCTAACATTCGGTGGCACCCCTCACGCAGATCGGCGGGGTCAGGGTCCCAAAAAACATTGGATTTGCCACATTTCTGAAATTCGACAACACACGCAGATCGGCGGGGTCAGGGTCCGAAAACCTAGGGGACTCTCAACATGTCTGAAATTCGGGGGCGCCCCTCAAGCGGATCGACAGGGTCAGGGTCCAAAAACACATGGGATTTGCCACATGTTTTGAAATTCGTTGGCACCCCTCACACAGATCGGCGGGGCCAGGGTCAAACAACACATGGGATTTGCCACATTTCTGCAATGTGGTGGCACCCCTCACGCAGATCGGCGGGGTCAGGGTCCAAAAACACTACATTTCTAAA